AGGGGATATGATCTCCATGTATAATACATAAGGGGGGATATGATCTCCATGTATAATACATAAGGGGGGATATGATGTCCATGTATAATACATAAGGGGGGATATGATCTCCATGTATAATACATAAGGGGGGATATGATCTCCATGTATAATACATAAGGGGATATGATCTCCATGTATAATACATAAGGGGGGGTATGATCTCCATGTATAATACATAAGGGGGGATATGATCTCCATGTATAATACATAAGGGGGGATATGATCTCCATGTATAATACATAAGGGGGGATATGATCACCATGTATAATACATAAGGGGGGATATGATCTCCATGTATAATACATAAGGGGGATATGATCTCCATGTATAATACATAAGGAGGATATGATCTCCATGTATAATACATAAGGGGGGATATGATCTCCATGTATAATACATAAGGGGGGGATATGATCTCCATGTATAATACATAAGGGGGATATGATCTCCATGTATAATACATAAGGGGGGGATATGATCTCCATGTATAATACATAAGGGGGATATGATCACCATGTATAATACATAAAGGGGATATGATCTCCATGTATAATACATATGGGGGGATATGATCTCCATGTATAATATATAAGGGGGGATATGATCTCCATGTATAATACATAAGGGGGATATGATCTCCATGTATAATACATAAGGGGGGATATGATCTCCATGTAAAATACATAAGGGGGATATGATCTCCATGTATAATACATAGGGGGGATATGATCTCCATGTATAATACATAAGGGGGATATGATCTCCATGTATAATACATAAGGGGGGATATGATCTCCATGTATAATACATAAGGGGGGATATGATCTCCATGTATAATACATAAGGGGGGATATGATCTCCATGTATAATACATAAGGGGGGGGGGATATGATCACCATGTATAATACATAAGGGGGATATGATCTCCATGTAGAACACATAAGGGGTGATATAATCACCATGTATAATACATAAGGGGGATGTGATCTCCATGTATAATACATAAGGGGGGGATGTGATCTCCATGTATAATACATAAGGGGGGATATGATCTCCATGTATAATACATAAGGGGGGATATGATCTCCATGTATAATACATAAGGGGGATATGATCTCCATGTATAATACATAAGGGGGATATGATCTCCATGTATAATACATAAGGGGGGATATGATCTCCATGTATAATACATAAGGGGGGATATGATCTCCATGTATAATACATAAGGGGGGATATGATCTCCATGTATAATACATAAGGGGGGATATGATCTCCATGTATAATACATAAGGGGGGGGGGGGATATGATCACCATGTATAATACATAAGGGGGATATGATCTCCATGTAGAACACATAAGGGGTGATATAATCACCATGTATAATACATAAGGGGGGATGTGATCTCCATGTATAATACATAAGGGGGATGTGATCTCCATGTATAATACATAAGGGGGGATATGATCTCCATGTATAATACATAAGGGGGGATATGATCTCCATGTATAATACATAAGGGGGATATGATCTCCATGTATAATACATAAGGGGGGATATGATCTCCATGTATAATACATAAGGGGGGATATGATCTCCATGTATAATACATAAGGGGGGGATATGATCTCCATGTATAATACATAAGGGGGGATATGATCTCCATGTATAATACATAAGGGGGATATGATCTCAATGTATAATACATAAGGGGGGGATATGATCTCCATGTATAATGCATAAGGGGGGATATGATCTCCATGTATAATACATAAGGGGGATATGATCTCCATGTATAATACATAAGGGGGGATATGATCTCCATGTATAATACATAAGGGGGGATATGATCTCCATGTATAATACATAAGGGGGGATATGATCTCCATGTATAATACATAAGGGGGGATATGATCTCCATGTATAATACATAAGGGGGGGATATGATCTCCATGTATAATACATAAGGGGGGATATGATCACCATGTATAATACATAAGGGGGGGATATGATCTCCATGTATAATACATAAGGGGGGATATGATCTCCATGTATAATACATAAGGGGGATATGATCTCCATGTATAATACATAAGGGGGGATATGATCTCCATGTATAATACATAAGGGGGGATATGATCTCCATGTATAATACATAAGGGGGATATGATCTCCATGTATACTACATAAGGGGGGATATGATCTCCATGTATAAATACATCAGTGGTTCATATAGTGAACTCGGTGTAGTTATTCCCCCTGAGGTCATCACAGAGGACAAGGGGGCGCTCTTTACATCTGGAGGAAAAGAAATGTAATTTCCAAACCTGAAAGGTTTCTTCACAGTAAGAGCTGTGAGAATGTGGAATAGACTCCCTCCAGAGTTGGTTGTGGCCAGCTCAGTGGATTGCTGTAGGAAAGTCCTGGATTCTTTCTTGGATACACAGAATATAACTGGATATAACATTTATAGGGAAAGTTGATCCAGGGAATATATCCGGGTGCCTCTCGGGGGGTCAGGAAGGAATTTTTCCCTGCAGGAGCAAATTGGATCGTGCTTTGCTGGGTTTTTTTTTGCCTTCCTCTGGATCAGCTGTGGGTGTAGGATTATAACTTTTTTTTTTTTTTAATGGTGAACTGGATGGACTTTTGTATTTTTTCAGCCAGACTAACTATGTAGGCTTGTAAAGCGCTGTGCAGACTGTTGGCGCTATATACAATCTTTATAATAATAATATTGTAATTCAGATACTTCTGAATCTCTGAATAACCAAAAACTTGAATTTAGATTCCGTCCAAAATGAATAGCACACGTTTAATCAGAATCTGGTTGATTTGATGTGGTGAAGTCAGCTAAGCAATCCTGTGTGTAAGCCGGTGAGTCTCACTGTGTGAGGAGCATGTTGTCTTTCTACTCACAGATCCTTTAGAGGTGAGGAAGGATGGGAATCATTCTGCATTGTGTTGCCTTAAAATGTATAATTGTTGCATTTTAACACAACACAACAGGTCAACACAGCCTTGTAGTGTGAACAGGACACATATACAATTGTTTCTTAATGTAGCTATCCATTGACCTGCATTTTATGAGTGCACTAAAACACAACACATGTTCTCTGCATTTTATTGTGTGAATTCAGCCTGAATGCTGCTATGAAAGGAAGGATGACTGGCTGATATCTAAATAAAATGCATTTCATTATAGTCTATACCAGGGGTGGGCAAACTTTTTGACTTGAGGGCCGCAATGGGTTCATATATTGGACCCGGGGGCCGGACCAAGAGTAGATGAATGATGTGTATGTGTCATCCATAGTAAGTATAGTAATATTTCCCCATAGTAAGCATAGTAATTAATCCCCCCATATAGTAATTCATCCCCCATATAGTAATTCATCCCCCATAGTAATTCATCCCCCATATAGTAATTCATCCCCCATAGTAATTCATCCCCCATATAGTAATTCGTCCCCCATATAGTAATTCGTCCCCCATAGTAATTCATCCCCCCTTATAGTAATTCATCCCCCATAGTAATTCATCCCCCATATAGTAATTCATCCCCCATAGTAATTCATCCCCCACATAGTAATTCATCCCCCACATAGTAATTCATCCCCCACATAGTAATTCATCCCCATATTAATTCATCCCCCATATTAATTCATCCCCCATATAGTAATTCATCCCCATATAGTAAGTCCCCCATATAGTAATTCATTCCCCATATAGTAAGTCCCCCATATAGTAATTCATTCCCCATATAGTAAGTCCTCCATATAGTAATTAATTCCCCATATAGTAAGTCCCCCATATAGTAATTCATTCCCCATATAGTAAGTCCCCCATATAGTAATTCATTCCCCATATAGTAAGTCCCCCATATAGTAATTCATTCCCCATATAGTAAGTCCTCCATATAGTAATTCATTCCCCATATAGTAAGTCCCCCATATAGTAAGTCCCCCATATAGTAATTCATCCCCCATATAGTAAGTCCCCCATATAGTAAGTCCTCCATATAGTAATTCATTCCCCATATAGTAAGTCCTCCATATAGTAATTCATTCCCCATATAGTAAGTCCCCCATATAGTAAGTCCCCCATATAGTAATTCATCCCCCATATAGTAAGTCCCCCATATAGTAAGTCCTCCATATAGTAATTCATTCCCCATATAGTAAGTCCCCCCTATAGTAATTCATCCCCCATATAGTAAGTCCCCCATATAGTAATTCATCCCCCATATAGTAAGTCCCCCCCCGTGTCAATTCACTTACCTTTGGTCCGCGCGTTCCTCTCGTATTCCCGCGCCGTTCTGGTCTTCAGGGAGGACTGTGAGAGGAGTTCGTCACGCTGCCCCCTACATCCTGGCTGCCCCGTACATCCTGACAGCTGCAGAGTCCTGACGTCCGAGAGGAGGGAGGGGGGCGGCCATCCGAGAGGGGGGGCGGCCATCCGAGAGGAGAGGAGGGGAGAGGAGAGAGAGGAGAGGAGGGAGGGGAGAGGAGGAGAGGAGGGAGGGGAGAGGAGGAGAGGAGGGAGGGGAGCGGGCGCCCGGCACACAGGAGAGCCGCATCTAAATTTGTAAAGAGCCGCGGCTTGCCGACCACTGGCCTTGCGGGAGCCTAGCTCCGCGGGCCGGATTAAAAGGTCCGCCGGGCCGTATACGGCCCGCGGGCCGTAGTTTGCCCATTGCTGGTCTATACATTCATTGTGTTTACCTGCTGAAAAATCAACATACCCCTCCCCCTCCTGAGCATTTCCCCCCTTCCTGACCAGGCTATCTTTTGCGATACGGCACTGCGTTACTTTAACTGACAATTGCGCAGTAATGCAACGCTGCACCCAAGTTAAATTTACGTCCATTTTTCCCCCACGAATTGAGCTTTCTTATGGTTGTATTTGATCACAAGCAACGTATTCCCTCCCTGGTTATCTCTCGCCTTGAAGATTGCAACTCCCTCCTCATTGGCCGACCTCATCGCAGGCTATCCCCTCTTCAGTCTATCATGAATGCTGCTGCCAGATTCATCCACCTTACTAACCGTTCTGTATCTGCCACCCCTCTCTGCCAATCCCTCCACTGGCCTCCACTCAGTGTCCCCACCCTTCTCTGCCAATCCTCCACTGACCTCTACTCAGTGTCCTCCACCCTTCTCTGCCAATCCCTCCACTGGCCTCCACTCAGTGTCCTCCACCCCTCTCTGCCAATCCCTCCACTGGCCTCCACTCAGTGTCTGCCTCCCCTCTCTGCCAATCCCTCCACTGACTCCACTCAGTGTCCTCCACCCCTCTCTGCCAATCCCTCCACTGGCCTCCACTCAGTGTCCTCCACCCCTCTCTGCCACTCCCTCCACTGGCCTCCACTCAGTGTCCTCCACCCCTCTCTACCAATCCCTCCACTGGCCCCCATTCAGTGTCCTCCACCCCTCTCTGCCAATCCCTCCACTGACCTCCACTCAGTGTCCTCCACCCCTCTCTGCCAATCCCTCCACTGACCTCCATTCAGTGTCCTCCACCCCTCTCTGCCAATCCCTCCACTGACCTCCATTCAGTGTCCTCCACACCTCTCTGCCAATCCCTCCACTGGCCTCCACTCAGTGTCTCCCACCCCTCTCTGCCAATCCCTCTACTGGCCTCCACTCAGTGTCCTCCACCCCTCTCTGCCACTCCCTCCACTGGCCTCCACTCAGTGTCCTCCACCCCTCTCTACCAATCCCTCCACTGGCCCCCATTCAGTGTCCTCCACCCCTCTCTGCCAATCCCTCCACTGACCTCCACTCAGTGTCCTCCGCCCCTCTCTGCCAATCCCTCCACTGACCTCCATTCAGTGTCCTCCACCCCTCTCTGCCAATCCCTCCACTGACCTCCATTCAGTGTCCTCCACCTCTCTGCCAATCCCTCCACTGGCCTCCACTCAGTGTCTCCCACCCCTCTCTGCCAATCCCTCCACTGGCCTCCACTCAGTGTCCTCCACCCCTCTCTGCCAATCTCTCCACTGGCTTCCCGTTGCCCAATGGATAAAATTCAAAACATTAACAATAATATATAAAGCCATTTATAACTCCGCCCCCAAATTACATCACCAATCTTGTCTCCAAATATCACCCAAACCATTCTCTCCGCTCCTCCTATGACCTCTTGCTCTCTAGCTCCCTTGTCTCCTCCTCCCATGCTTATCTCTAGGACTTCTCCAGGATCTTCCCCCATCCTCTGGAACTCTCTACCCCAATTTATCAGACTATCGCCTACTCTGCTCACTTTTAGGTGATTTCTGAAAACCTCTCTCTTCAGAGAAGCCTATCCTGCCCTCAGCTAATACCGGAATCTTCTATTCCTCCTACCAGTCCATCCCCCACAGTTACTACCTTTTGTACCACCAGCCCCTCCCTCCTAGATTGTAAGCTCCCAGGATCAGGGCCCTCCTAACCCTCTTGTATTGATCTGTATTGTTGCTGTATTGTCTCCCGTTATATTGTACAGTGCTGAGCAAACTGTTGGCGCCATAAATCCTGTATAATAATAATAAGAAGAATAATAACCTGTTCATTTTTTTTGCGCAATAGAAAAAAAAGACTGACATTTTCAGAAGAAAAACAATATGTTTGACTTTTTGCAAAATCACATGTCCAGTAAAAAAAAAATTATTTCCTCATAAATTTCGGCCAAAATGTATTCTGCTCCGTGTCTTTGCTAAAAAAAAAAATCCCACTACATGTAAATTAATTGGTTTATGTGAAAGTTATAGTTTTTCAAATGGCGGGAAAGATACTGGGATTTTTTTTTACTAGTAATGGCGGTGATCAGCGACTGCGGCGGGCATTCTGACACTGAGGGGGTCACTGACTTGGTGTTACTGACATCCCCAGTGACACCAATACAGTGATCAGTGCTAATATAAAGCACTGACACTGAACTAATGGCACTGGGCAGGAAGGGGTTAACATGAGGGGCGATCAAAGGGTTAACTGTGGGTGTGCTTCACTGTAAGCCATGCAAAGCAGTGTGCAGAAGCTAACAGAGAGGAGAACTGTTTTGTTTACAAACAGTTTCTCCCCATCGGAGTTCCTCGGCAATCACAGGGTGCCGGCAAGTAATCACCAGCCAGGACCCGGGGATTGACAGTCGCGGGCGAGAATGGCAGCACGGGTAGAGCCAGCGCACCCCCTACCCAGAAATGCAGAATCATGTATATATACGTGAATTTGCGCACCCGTGCCACCCTGTAGCAGTATATCTGCTATATGCTCCTCCCATGCCTGCCTATATAACTTCTCAAGGGCGTCACCCATCCTCTGGAACTCCCTACCCCAATCCATCAGACTATCACCTACTCTCCTCTCCTTTAGGCGCACCCTGAAAACCCATCTTTCAGGGAAGCCTACCCCACCCCTGCTAACTTGCCGACCTCCTCCACTCTTCCTACCACTCCATCCCCCACAGCTATCTCCTCCTGTACCACTATCCCCTCCCTCCTAGATTGTAAGCTCCAAGGAGCAGGGCCCTCGAACCCCTCATGTATCACATTGTATTGGTATTGTTCTGTCTCATGTTCTGTCCCCATTGTAATGTACAGCGCTGAGCCAACTATTGGCGCTTTATAAATACTGTATAATAATAATAATATGGCGGTCAGGAAGCGGTTAAAGTGGTTGTAAAGGCTTGAGGTTTTTTACCTTCATGCAAACCTTCTGTGTGCATCATCCCCCTCCATACTTACCTGAGCCCCATCTTGATCCAGCGATGTACATGAGAGCAGCAAGTTCTCCCTGCTCTCTTCTTCCTCATTGGCTCAGAGACAGCACTGGAAGCCACTGGGTTCCACCGCTGTCAATCACAGCAAGTGGGGAGAGAGTGGAGGATGGGTTAAGCCATTGATTGTTTTGCTATTGGAGCAGTCAGCAGGGGAGGAGCCAGGAGCACCGGCAGGGACCCAAGAAGGGAAGGATCAGGGACGCTCTGTGAAAAACCAATACAGAGCAGGTGGGTATAAAACCTCTTGCCCGCGGTACTGATGTACAGTACACTGTACCTGAGCATCTGCATTATTTGAACATAATTTCAGGCGTTTGTTTTTGCATGTATTAATGTGCATATAGGCATCCGCACACTTGCGTGCAAAATATATGCTCAGGGAAAATTGATTCATATTTATTCTCATACGTGTGTATTTTTGCGAGCGGGCGTCGTAAATTACTGACCTAAAATTCAGATTTTAACTCTTTTTTTTATTGAGGAATATGCGGCGCTTATTTATGCCTGTGTGCAAAGGCACATTGTAAATAACAGGCTACAATCTACCCGAGTAAAAAAAAAAAAAAAAAAGCTGTACCGAGATTTTTCAAGTTGCAGTGTGCAACAGGCCTAACATGTTTTATTATTTTTTAAAAAATAAAAAAATACTTTCAGTATCACTTTAACACCCCGGTCACCTCAATCCCGACTTTGAAATCATGCAACTTACAGTGAAGTCGCACAATTTCAATGTCAGAAGATGTGCCAATTTGCAAGCTATCTGACGCAGTATGCAAATCGCACCAGAAGTACTGCGTGCACTACTTCAGAAATCAGTGCGGCTCCGTACCAAGTCGGGAACTGCAGGGATATGACCGCTGTAGTTGCGGACAATAGGGTGCGGCTTGGCATGCAATTTACAAGTCGTACCCATTGTGACCGGGGACTTAATGAAATATATAAAAGGATATATAAAAGAAAGAAACCTGAGATACCTTCATGGCAGTTTCAATAATGTTCTTTTTGCCTTCCATCATTGCTCTGCTTACACCCTCCCGCAGAGACTTGTAGCTTTCACCACATACCAAGAAATGGTCCAGGAGATTTGTCTCATTGTCCTGCAACAACAAACATGACACCATCAGGGGAATGAATGGAATTCACATATCAGGAATATTCCGTGTATACAGAGTATATTTCATCTGCAGTGCTCATAACACAATGAGAACAGAGAAAACCATGACAAGTATCTTCTACAAAGTAACACAATCGGATGACTTACTGATGACCAGAGCATGCTTACTTTACAAGGTGGATGAGATGAACTTGTCCTGGCTTTAAATCCACCAGCCACAACATTTTTATTCTTTTTTTTTTTCCTTGTACACAACTGTGTAATCTTTGCTGAGTAATTTTCACTTACTGTAGCAACTAAAGAACTGCACAAGACCAATGCAACCTCCAATGGTAATGCAACTCTGTGCATTGTGGTGTGCTGTGTAGGAAGAAAATGGCACAAGTACAATTTTTTTTATAGTCCATTGAGAGACACAGACATATTTCGAATTCTCGGGCTTTTGAGTTATACTGCTCCCACTTTAGAAATGGACAATGCTAACAAAAAGAAAAACTTTTGATAGTTTTTTTTGCTAGGATACAGGAGAAAACAAGGTCTAATGTATTCCCATCAGTGAGTGGAGGACGGTATACATTGTGCTAATGCAAAAGATGAGGTTAGGTTGGGAAGAGTTGGGATGTAGCCGGGTTGTTATTGGGGATGTAAAAATCTCCAAGAATGATAGTGGGTAGTTCAGAGGAGAGAAAGTAGGGTAGCCAGGTGGAGAAATCATCAAGAAGTGGGACACGGGTCCAGGAGGCCGATAGATCACTGCAATCCTCAGAGAAATGGGAGAAAACAGCCGGATGCAGTGAATCTCCAAAGAAGAGAAGGATAGAGAGGGAGGGTTAGGGAGGACTTGAAAGGTGCTCAGTGGGGATAGAAGCAAACCAACTCCACCTCCTTTCCGACCACTGGGTCTGGGTGAGTGGGTCCAGATGAGGCCTCCACCTCGTCTGAGACTGTGCCCGATCTATGACCGTGCCCTCGGTCTGTGACTGTACACCGAGTCTGTGACTGTGCACCCGTTGTGTGACTGTGCCCCCGGTCTGCGACTGTGCCCCCGGTCTATGACTGTGCCCCCAGTCTATGACTGTGCCCCCGGTCTGCGACTGTGCCCCCGGTCTGCGACTGTGTGCCCCCGGTCTGCGACTGTGTCCCCTCTCTGTGCCTTATCTTGCAAGGAACACTTTCTGGTTTTCCTAGTAATAAAGTGATGTTGTGCCCCCGGTCTATGACTGTGCCCCCAGTCTGTGGCCCCATTCTGTGCCCCCCGGTCAGCGACTGTGCCCCCCTGATCTATGACTGTACCCCTGGTCTGTGACTGTGCCCCCAGTCTATAACTGTGCCCCCCCATCTGCGACTGTGCCCCCTCTCTGTGCCTTCTCTTGCAAGGAACACTTTCTGGTTTTCCTAGTAATAAAGTGATGTTGTGGCCAAGGTCTTCCTTTTCACCCAAGGTATTCTCTGTCTTTTGCAGTCCCCTATTTCCTGTTGTCTTTCCTTGGGCCTGTCAGCTTTTGCTATGATATGTTTGCTAAGAAAAACAACACATTGGTCGGCGGGATAACGCTGCCCAGGGCTGTTATGCCTCACTTGTTGTATCAAGAAAAGGATTTTATGGAAAGTACAAAAGTCTTATTTTTGATGCTTTGTGGCGAATTGGCACAGCATCGTCCCACGCAGGAGTGAAGAGGTCCTTTAACAGAGCAGGCAAATGGATAGAACATCTGTCAGGTTTTACTGTTGTCCTTGCTGGGGAGACATAACTTTACTTCCCATCCTGTTGACAATAACCCCCTAATAAGAAGTGAGCTGAGACATTTATAAATGGTACACCAGAAGCA